ACCGGAAGTGAACCGAGCATGGGTGAGTACTTATGGGACTACCGTGCCAGAGCTATCAATTGCGCTCTGCGCTATCTGAGATTGTCTCACTAGTTATTTTCTTTCAAGGCTGAGGAACTTAGCCACTCCAGAAAGCGTGTTGAGCAGCATGAAAATGAAGTTAGAAAACTACGAACAAGAGTGGAGGAGCTGAAAGTAGATTTATCAAAAGCTGAAGATGAGGTATGTCTAACATTAACAAGCAAACCTTCTTTGATAGTTTGAAAGAAATGACAATAGATCATGTTTGCTGTAGGTAGTGTTGGCTGACGCTATGGGCCAAGCCGATATATTGACCGACACTCGGCAGATACGTCGGCAGAGTATCAATTAACACTCGTCTGATACATGGCTGATATATTGGCTGGCAGTCGGTTGAGAATCAGTTGAGTATCAGTCGGATGTCAATCAAGTATCAGTCGATATGCTGGCTGTTACCCGACCGACAGTTAACCCACACACACATCAGCTGATGTATCAACGGATTCCGAACAAACACTCAACAAACGCTCAACCAGCACTCAACCAATACTCACTCAAATGACACTTGGTTGGTTGTTGGCTGACCGATTAGATATATCAGCCATGTATTGGTCCATACTTGGCCGATACAAGGCCGGTATAAGGCTGATACTTGGCCGACATATTGACTGAGTGTCTGTTGATATATCAGTTGATAGTGTCGACCGACACTACCTACAGTAAACATGATCCATGATTATTACTAATGACTGAAAGTAAATTATTGTAGCATTCACAACTGAGAGATGGGTATAAATTTGTGTGTTACAAATGTGTTATCACCATTTTGAAGAAGCCAGACTGCAGCCCTGTTTCCCTGCCTTACTTTACATGCTACACCCTTAGTTTTAGTTTCAGAAATTTGATGACATAAAATGCACAAAAACATAAGTTGTGTGACACAAGTGAAGTAATTAACTGTTCCTTGTGCAAGGTGCAAGTGAGGTTAGACTTCACCATCTTCAAAGGGAAAACTACTATCCCTCAACCATTCCAAGAACTGGACATGACTTGTTCTACAGAAGTTGAAGTCCTGTTTTCTTGAAGATTAGTTTAGTGCAAAACTACCTATGATGAAAGATGCCCTAAGTCCTGACCATTGGTCCAAGTTCATTAACTGAATGATTTATTTTTACCATTCTAGCTGGACTCACAAACAAGCAATTTAAGAAAACTGCAGCGCAATCTGGATGAGCAAACGGAGCGTGCAGATAGCTACAAAGTTCAAATAGAACACTTAAATTCAAGGTAGGTAGAAATGGACCATAAGACGTACAAATGAGTCTAAACACCCCACTTAATTGGAGGCTTACTTAAGACAGTACCTTTTGACAGACAAGATCTCTTAACTCCTGGCATTGCAACTTATTCACAAAAGATTGAGGGGCAGTTATGCTTTTCAGGTGTTAGCGTACCCAAATTCAAATTTAGCCAATCAGAAGCCTTGACTATTACCCTGATTCGTCGTGATGTTAAAGCCACTCATGCAATATCCTAGGTCACTTTCAAGTAATAATGAGCACTTTTTGAATCTAGAAACACTTTTCAACCTATTGGGTACTTCTTTTGGAGGACTACTGTTCCCAGAGTTATTTAGGGTGAAGCTTTGCAGTCTTTCAGCTTGCATAAAATGAAGATTACTTAGGTCATGTTCACTGCAGGTAGTGTTGGTCGACACTGTCAAGCGATATATTGACCGACACTCAGTTCATATGTCAGACAAGTATCGGCCTTCTATCGGTCAAGTGTTGACCAATATACAGCTGATATATATCGGCCGATAATATATATCGGCCAGCAGTCAGTCGAGTGTTGGTTGAGTATCAATTGAAGCTAATTGAGGTGTTAGTCGAGTTTTGGTTGGGTATCAATCGAGATGTTGCAGATATGTTTGTCGGTCAAGTGTTGGTCGAGTGACAGTCAACAACAGTTGTTGGTCGAGTGACGGTCAACAACAGTCGGCCGATACTTGATCAACATTCAACTGATACTCAACCAACACTCGACTGACTATCAGCTGATATATCAGCCTTGCATTGGCCGAGTGTCGACCGATGCTTGGGCCAACATATCGACTGAGTATTGTTCAATATATCAGTCCATAGTGTCGGCCAACTCTACCCACAGTAAGCATGATACGAATGCCTTAGGTGTTTGTAAGATGA